ATCTTTCCTCCTGTACAACCTTGAGTCTAAGTGCGCCGACCCATACATGAAACGAATCGATTTGCAATTGTCTAAGAAGCTGGAAAGTACTCACGTGGGGCACTTTGATGAAGATACAGTGACTGTAATTTAATCTCTTTGGATGGACCTCAGATAGATGAATTATCAAAATGATAGCAAAATATGCTGTGGAAATTTTTGGCTATCTTGACGATCATCACCCCTACTTGGAATGTATCCTAGGTAAATTGAGAAGATTCTTACTTTGCAAGAGCGGCAGTAAATTTACTGATTCCTGAGTTTGATTATCTGATTTCTATTTACATCTCACATAGCGACTTGCGTTCTATGATTTGAACGCTGGTGGTTCCTATCTACTTTGACATCCTATCACACAAGAAAGATACGCCACTTATCGCCTCAATAACCAGTTTAGACCCTTGCCCTCCATGGTCCTCATTCTCTTTCCTAGACGGTATCGAGATTCACAAGGGCCGCTGCAAAATGGTGACCCGACTTTAAGCCCATTTTCTTTTTTTCCTGCAAGCTGGAAATCGGTGATCTAAGTGGCGCATATATTCTGTGCTCTACCTCCCAATTTAAAAGTCAACTTTCAAGCTGTTCTACAGTCGCCCATGTATCGATGGGCAATCCAACCTCATGAACCACACTTTACTAGTCTTCTTTTTCCCACTGTCTTCATCTGGATATTTCGTGTCCTATCCAGTTTAATGAAGAGTTGCCCTTTAAAACCAAGTAATAAGCCTAAGCGCTTGTATTAAGTTTGTTTCTGCTGAAATACACAAAATAAAAAAAGCAAGAAATGACGGAAAAGTGATTTAGAGTTTAGGGACTGAATGGTCCAAGTAAAAACTCATTGTGCTTAAATTGGCAATCCAGTTACGTCTTGAAATACCCGCATGTCTTTGAGTCCCGATTTAAATCCCGGGTTGCTTGTCTAAGACTAGTGACGGTGGATTTCATAGCACACCGAAGCCAACACGTTGCGACGCTCAGTTTCTTCAATGAAATATGGATGCTGTCTCAGAGAATCATGTGTTTTCCATTCAAGCGTGGTAATCTGAAATGGGGTTTGATTATTTCATTTCCTGTGCCAGAAATCCAGTGGAAATCAGTTATTTGTTGGCGGCAATCCTGAAGTCCAGTGAGGCGTGTAGCAACAAGGCTACTGCTTAATCGAATTTTCGATCACAGTTTCGGGGTTAATTATTGAAGCCAAGCGTGGGATTCGAAAACTGGTTCCTACGGCTGTCGTAACCTCTGATGATGGAAGTGGCAATACAGCGCACAGTCACTGCAGAATTCACAGTAAATCAAGCTGTTCTTTCATCGTTCATTGGGAACCTAAGCACCCGAAGCAAGCTTGCAAACAAAAAACAAATTTACGTGAAAACGGAAGAGAATTCTTTACTTTGCTACACCTGGACTTTCTGCTACCAAATTTCTTTCATTACAATTTACCTTTTTTAACCACTAGAAACATCCAGGCTACAGTGAATGAATCACATTACAAATTTTAACTCAAATGAGGGCTAGTTATATTTGAGTAGACTAGAGACTGAAATTTGGGGCCAAGTCAGTCTTTACTCGTATATAAATCTGATCTGTAGCTTGAATCAATCTGTTGTAAGTACTTCCTCAACGTGGACTCGCTAGAATGAATTAGTCTTGGTAATTCTTCACGAAATAACCATGAATCATTGGTTTAAATCTGGATTATAACGACGCAATTCAGCACTCAATTCTCGGGACGAATACACCATCGAACAGTGACGTTCGATTCAAAATCCGTTTATTTGTGACACCGTTTTAAAAGTAGGTCAAGAATTGACTCGAAAATTGAAATGAGCCATCTCATTTAACTATCATCACGATCTTTATTTTGGAAATAACCAAGTACGCTTGACGAAGAGCACCAGGATTACACGAGAGCTCACCGCGTGAATCACTACTGAACGCTAAAATAGGGAGGGTAACTTTGGAAAACATTGTTGCTATTTATTGTAATCCACTTCTATGCCTGAATTTTCTAAATGCGGAATTACCTGATTGTAACGTTTAGCACACACATTAACGAGAAAAAATAAGTCAGGTGGCTCAACGGACATTAAGGCCAAATAAGAGTTGCTTGTTAATTTTAAATGTTTGAGAAAGCCTTTAAACGTTACCCAAAGGTAGACGTTGTGACCAATCTCTATTCCTGACTTATGCTTTCGAGGCTTTTCATAAATGGATCTACCCATTCCCAGTTGCGAAATTAACAGAATAGAAGTGCCTCAGAATTGTGGATCAACACAAAAGTGTCCACATATTCTGCAAGAAGCTTTTATTCCCCACGATAGGAACTCAAGTTTTTAGAGAAAGCCATGGATTGACATTCCAGCATCATATTACAAATACTTTTGCAGTTGCTTGCTCTTATGAGAGATCCCCATTACGGTCTCAGCGCATTTTTTAAACAGATAATTAAGCTAATAGCAATGGCACTAAACAGAGTCCAACTACACATTGGATAATTATTGTTTGGTATCAATTAAGAAGGTTCACGGCTTGCCTAGAAGGGATAAACCAATCACATGTTTGTCATCTCCCAATGGCAAGGCGTGAAGATCAGCGTCAAAATGTACTCCCACGTCTGCCTACAAGAGCAACCCGTCTGGGGTTGAATCGGCTCGAATGAGTGATGCTTTTGGTGACTACCAAAATTTCGGGAGTTCACTCTGGTCCGAACTTCATTAAAAGAATGTAAAAGCAAAATGCGAAGCAAGCACTCTAACCGCAAAAATTTAACCTCAAACCGCGAAACTAACTTCTGAGTGGTTGAATTTAAGTAAATAACAACTTTTGAGGATCGGACCTATCCCTGTTGCTGTCTCCTACATGCCTCAATTTGGTTTGAGTGAAGAAAATTGTATTTTAAATGACTTGAGGTGTTAAGGGGATTTATCAAGAATAAATGTACCGAAAAATATTGCAATTTACCGCCACGAACCCTGGAAATGTCGTGTTATTAAACATTTGTGTAAAAATGACTCAGCGTTTGCTCACTTTTCAATGGTCTGAATACAACTAATGATCATTTATTTATTTGTATTAATAAATAAGCCATTTTTACTAGCTCAAAGATTGGGGGCATAATTATGAAAACTTTAGTGGAAACACGAAAGGCAGCACCATTGTAAAGTAGCCCAAAGTAATCAAAGAGTAAATTAAAGAACTTATCGGTTTATTTTCTAGCAATTACTTCCTCAACTCAATACCAGTTGACTCAACGATTTTGAACTTTATTTGCATGGCTGATGCTCAATTCGGACTGCCTTGTAGCTTCAATGCCTATGACAATAATTTTATTCTGCAAGACTGCAAAAAATGAATGTTCAAAGCCACCTCACTAACACAAACGCTTTCTCAACACGAGATTCGGCTTACCAGCAGGTCCAAGGTACTCAAACACAACTCTCATGCAAATTTCATCACGAACTTCCAGTTTAGTGAGCAAATTTGCTTTCTTTCAGTTCCTACGTTTCGTTTTCTCACACTCTAGACGAAATGGGTTACAGTTGTACTGCTGGCACCAGTATAGCTTCGTACTGACCCCGCGGAAACATGTAACTCAGTGACGAAAAG